CCCTGTCAGGCTTTTCTCTAAGTACTCCTGTTCCTACTTTTCTATACTAGCCTCCACAGTTTCCTTCCTATGTTGGTTGTCTTGCTTTTGAGAAAGCAGCCTCTCTAAATTGCACCCTGGGCATTAGAATGGTGTGTTGTAATCCTCTGGGTATATGGCTTTTCCTGTTTGGGAATTATTCTGAATAATAAACTTTTAGTTAACTTAATTGGCAAGTATTTAGTTTGAGAGAAAGACCCCCCAAACCTAGATACTTAAGGTTTGAATAGTCAAACCCAGGGTTCTGTACAGTTTAGCACTCTAGTGTAATGTATTGATACTGGAGATGTTTGCTACTTTGACCTAAGCAGTCAAATATCAGCATCCTGTAAGATATTTCTAATATGAGAATAATGGAACAGCTAGCTGTTCTTTGACGAAATCCTGTTCCTGTGCAAAAAAAAGCACAAAATCCCACTTCATTTACACAACCCCATATCTCACAGATGAGATCTGGAATCTATAAGCTTCTGTAATTAAGGGAAAGAACTGTTCATGAGTTTATATTCTCATGAACAATCAATTCTTGGTTTATTGCTTTTTTTTTGTTAAGCAGTGTATCACCATTAATACCTTTGTGTGAACATCTGGTACAAAGTTAGAACACTGCAGTTTTTCCAACCACTAGAGATCCCAAGCTTGAATATTTTTTTCTATGAATTGCAGAATTAATGAAGCCATATTTCCTCTGGATTTGTACTCTAGCCACTGAATGCCATGAGTCACCTCCTTCTACAACCATAAACCTTCTTTGGCTTAGTTCTTCCCTACCTATTTGAGATGAGCAAGACACTGGACTGTAGTTAAGTCTTAACTGTGTCTACAGGTTGGTGAGCTGACTTCTGTCCCTTGGAAAGATAAAAGATAAGTTATACGTTTCGCTCTGTGGGACATTAATAGTGGTTCTTTGTTCCAGATACCATGCAGAAACTCGGTATATTTAACACTTGTGTTGTCATGTAAAATCAGATCTGAATTAGACAATGGATTCAAAAGTAGCAGTGAGAGTGCAAGTGAAAAAAAAAAAAAAACAACAACCCCCAAACAACAAACCACAAATCCAAACCAGCCCCACAACCACTACCTAAACTTGTTTTCTTAACACACTAGGACTATGTCAGCCATGCTCAAAGAAAAGAAGGGATATATGGCATATCATGATGAGGAACTCTCATACATGAGAAAGTTATTTTCAAATGATGCAACCAATACCAATTCCTATCCAGTGGTGCCAGAGAATTTAGACTTTTGCTGTGCAAAGTCACCTCCAGCTCACAATGTTTGAATTCTAATGTAAGCACTAGCACTCATATCTGATATGAAAGATGCATTGAAATGTGAGTAAATAGCAGCAGTTACAACTTTTTCTTTTTTTCCCCCCCTGAAAGTACTCAGACTCAAGCACTGAGAGGTTTTCTATTTCTTTCCTAACTTATGAAATAGTTTTGTAATATTGACAAACCCATAAAAGAACTCTTAGAAAATCCCAGCAGAAATTCTAAATGTCTGCCAGCCTCTTGGGGAGAGCCAATTTTGCACAGATTATTTCCTTTTCCTATTTCCCTTATCTCTCCCCTTATCTCACCTTCAGGAGTAAGCAGTCTTTTAGAAATAAGTCATAGCACTTTGAGTTGATTTAGATTAGTAGTTTTAAGCTTACTTTACAGCATTTGCACATACCAGATTATCTTGCCTAAATAATACACAAGCTAAGGTAGGAACATGATCCAGTTGCCTTCAAACACAGCTAGTATCTTGCACAACATGACTGCTACTTTAACTTGCTGCTGTCCTTGTTCTGCAGGGAAAATGGTCTTTCTGCCTTCCTGTGACCCACCTCCCAGTGTTTCACTTTGAAGAATACCAAGTAGGTTATTTCTTTTGTGATACTGGATAAAAAATATTTCAAGTGACATAATTTGGTTTGCCAGAATTCACAAACACCCCAGTACTACCACTTCTTTCTTAACCTGTACTACAGGTGAGGCACAAGAACTAACTAAAACCTCTCATGTTGTATCTTCCAGATAATTTTTTCTCATGATTCTTCTTTCATCATTAATAACCCATACTGATAGACCTGGCTAATATGTTGATGTCCTCTTTGAAGGACCTCACCCCCCATAATCAAACTTGTGATGATGAGTCCAAGACAAACTACATCTTCAAACTGAGAAAACCTGGTAATGACAAGATATTTCAAGCTCATTAAGATGTAGAGCATTAAATTGGGTCAAACACAGTAAAAGCTCATTCATCCATGCTTCTCCTTCAAGGTTTCATCTATCCCTGTATCCTATTGATTCACATGAGGTATCTTTGGCCTTTTTAAAATCTTCTTGGCAGAAATATACAGTTACTGTGCAGTTACTCACTGCAACAAAACCTGGCAATCAAGTTGATAATCAGAAAGCTAGTAACTGCTTTTTGGATTCTGGAATGATACAGTTTTCCATTCAGTGTCTCCATTCAACAAAGTAGGTGTCAACAAAGTAGGTGTATAATTACAGCTCTACTTAGCTTTTCCTGAAGATTTCTGGTCTAACAGCCACCATGCCTGTACTAGGTTCCACTTTTCTGTGTGCTTCACACATGTGATTCAATTGTTTTGAGTGCCCAGATTAAGTCCTAGGAAGCTGATGCCTGCATTTCCAAGATGCATTCCTCCCCCCTGCCCCCCCCCCCCCCCCCCCCCCCCCCAGCTACAAACAGAAGAGAAGCATGTGAAATTGTGTATTACTAAAAAAAAAATCTGGCTCAATTCCCTACCCTGGTTCCTGCTTTCCACCGTGGCATGGGAATTTTTATTTCCTTCTGGGGTTTATTTTTAGCTCCCTTAGAACTATTTCTAACTGTTTGGACAGGAAATTACAATCAGGCCAAGGGTTTCCTGGTTTTCTGCCATTCCTTCCCCTGCAACTGTTTTCCAGTAGTTTTTTTATAATCTTTTTTATCCAGCTTCTCCAAAATGCAACACTTGAATTCAGGATTGTTTTGATATTTTTTAATTTCCATTTCCTAGTCATTAAATCCCTATGAATGTCTTAAGAGGAATTTCAGATCCAGTTTGTGAAATCCATTGGTTTTCTTTGGGGACGTGTCCAGCTTTTGGTTCAGGCCTTCTCCTAACCCCTCTCAGCTGTCTGAGTATCAGTCATCACTACTAACTCTTTTGCCACAGTAGCTCAAATGAATACCGGCTTAAAAATCAGTTCCTTGGTAACCGCCTCGGTGAGTGTTTGAAACGGTATAGAACCAGCACTCAGCCAGATTCCGGGTTCCTGCAAGTTGTTTCTAAGCAGAGAAGAACCTGGGGCCCAGGTCCATTGCCGTTGCTCTGTTAAATAACCGGAGACTAAACAAGCCCGAGCCCGGCTCCCTCGGCAGCGGCACGGAAGGTCCAGGCCCTGCCTGCTCCCGGAGCACCCGCTGCCCCCTGACGGCGGCGGCGCACACGGCCCCACGGCCCTCCCGCCGCTAGCGCGGCCACCTTCCTTGTCTTCCCCCGGCACTGCCGTGCTCCACTGGCAGTGGGAGACCCCGAGCGTAGAGGAGGCGGGAGAAGAGAATGCGTCTTCGGAAACCGCAGCTACCCGCTAGTGCCGGGGTCGCAAAGGAGGCGTTCCTGTGTGCGCTGTGGGTCTCGGAAATTACAGGTGTTACTTAATCATAGGCTTAAAATTATAACAGTTGTGGTGGGTGTGGAGAAAGCATGCCAGGTTCTGCTAGTCCTCAGTTCACTACAAAGCTAGAGACATGAGCAACAGGGATGGAGTTTACCCTGTGAAGGATGGGAGGTTGTTAATTTTGTCTTATATTTCTGTGCTTGGAGAAGAGGTGGGACACCTGTGCACACTCCTTTTGGTGGAGATACAGGGAGATTAGTTGCATTGGGTATACAGAGATGTGGGAGAAAAGAAGTGACTAACATAACAGCGATGATTGTGATGGGTGAGGTGGGCAGCAATTGCCATGGAGGTGGAAGTCTGTGCGGAAGCTCAGAATCATTAACTGCTTCACAACATAACCTGCATAACAAACATCCTTCCAGGTTGTGGAGGATGACTAGATCTGGATCTCTCAATATGAAGGAGAACTGCTACTGCCAGGTAAATACTGCCTTCACTTCACTGGGGCAGCACATCACATCCCACAGTGGGACACAGAGTTTGTCTCTGCAGCTCCTCCACCTGGCCTGGGCTTCAGAAGAGAGCCCATGCTGTACCATCAAGTTCTCTTCAGCCCGAGAAAAACTGCCCACGCTCATCTGCGGGCCACAACTAACCGTGTGTTTCATGAGTCTTGAGGATCCCTGCCAGACATCTCTGTGCCCACAAGCACCTTGAAAGTAAGCATCAGTCCCTTGTAGCAAGGGGGCAGGTGGGACAGCCTTCATGTCCGTTTAGTCTCTCCTTATGTCTACTGTGAGTGGCTGCTGTTAGCTTTAGGAGACCAGGTCTGATTTAATTTAAAGCATATCACCGAAACCGGGAAAAAGCAGGTTCTGGCGGGGAGCTCGCTACCCGCAGGGCCCTCTGGAGCCCAGGGGAAGGCGGATGGGCGGTGGCGGGCAGAAACAGACACCTTGCCAGGATGCAAACCCCCTTGGCAGCAGCATCGGTGCCGGGCTGCAAGGTGGGTCCTACAAGCCCCCTGGGGCCGCCTGTGCGAGACGTGGGCAGGGCTTCTAGCTCTGTCTGATCGTGATGCAGCCACTCAGTGCCGGGCAGCCTCACGAGCGGTAGGGAAGGGGAATTCACAAAGCCTCCACTCCCCGCCCGGCCCCTCACGGGAGCAGCTTTCCTCTGCCCCACCCCGTGTGCCAGTCGACGGACGACAACTCCCAGGATGCCCCGCGCGCCGGCCAACGTAGCCTGTTGGTGGGGCTCTGCCAATGGGAAGGCTCGTAGGCCACGCAGGCGGGGAGAGGCGGGGCAGCAGGGGTTGGCGGCGGCGGCGGCGGCGGAGCGACGGCGGCGGGAAGGGCTGTCCTAGGGATCGGCGGCGGTAGGAACGATGCCGGTCCATTCCCGGGAGAAGAAAGAAAACAACCACGATGAGATGGAGGTGGACTACGGGGAGAACGAGGGCAGCAGCTCGGAAGAGGAGGAGACCGAGAGCTCGTCCGTGTCCGAGGAGGGGGACAGCTCAGGTGCTGCGGCCGCCCTCAGGGGAGAGGGGGGAGCCGCGGCGGTTCCCTCAGCATTCAGTGTGCTGTCCCGGGAGAGATACTTGTCCCGCCCGCACGGGTCCAGTGGCGGCTGGTGCCCACCCCTGCCGTGACCCCGCCCCCTTGCCTCTCTGGCCCGGCCCGGCCCAGCCTCCCCCAGGCTCCGCCGGGTGGAGGGCGGGGAAGTGGAGGGGCGCAAGGCATGGCAGCCCCTCTTTGCCCTAAGCTACCGGCTCTGGAGTCGGCTGGCACCCGGCCTTGGCGGGCCGGGCCGTGGTACTCCGTGTAGGTGCTGTGGGTTGTGCCTTGCTGGGCTTGGGAAGATGGCCTGGGGAGGGCGGGGGGGGCTCGCTAAGGTCTGCGCTAACAGGCTTGGCATATATGCACACATCTGTGTGCGTGCATGTAACAAAATACAGGTGTGTGTATGCATATATGTGTATTTCATCATATGTAAAACTGTGAATTTCGATTAGACGTTTTGAGGCCTGTCTTTGAGGGGGCATTGGAAACCCTGTCAGTACCATTGGCCTCTTCTGCTAAGCATTTCAACCTCTGCTCTGTTAAAGGCCCCTTTCTTCTTCCATAGCTTCTTTGGGACCACAGATTGTGAATTAGTAGGTGAAATCCAGCTTTAAAAGGATTACTTTTTCTATGGGCAGTGTCCACTGTGTTAGAAGGTGGTTATTATCTATTCAAACTTCCCTTGTATTTACAAGGGGTAAATTATAAAGTGGGAAACATGCTGATCATTAGATGAGTACACTGCTGTTCTGGCATCGCTGTGGCTTCATAAGTATGTAAGCTCCATAAGCAGGATAGCAGTCACTGGAAGGGCTAGCTGAGGAACAGTAGCTGTGTTCAGTGCTAGCTGTGGTCCTGGTGTGTTTCTGGCAGCTGAAGTGGTATAGAGTGGTCTTCTCGGATCCCGTCCCATGCCTGTACTAGCACATTGACCTGTGGCATGAGTGCCAGCTTGGCACAGTGAAAGAAAGCGACACCAAGAACTAGACAAATTAGGCAGCTGTGAAATTATATTTTTACATATGTAGGCTTGTGATTGATTTATCTGTTATGTTAGTCTTCGATATACAGTTAAATCTTTTTGTTGTTAAATCCTGTGGCTTTTAGATTCACGCTGATGCAGTTCAGGGAAAGCCCTGGTATAGTTGTTCCATGTGGTCTCATGGAGCTTGCCCTTGTCTGGGCTGTGGATGGACTAACAAGGTGCTGGAGCCCTATAGGTGTGGTAGAAAGAGCCAAGCTGACACTGCAGAAGTAGAGTGAAAACTTTAGTAGTGATGGGAAAGTGAGACTGCTGTGCTGGGAGAGAGTGTAGTCACTCCCTTTGACCTTGATTTAATACTCATTCCTCACGAGTTGATCCCCAGTAGAGGCCTTTGTTAATCTGTAAATCCAAGTGGTCTGCCTATGTTTTGTACAGAGCTTCCCCTGCTCCTCTGCCATCCCCCCATGGCTTGAGCTGGCCAGTATGACTGAGTGAGCCCCATTTTATAAGTTAGGCTGCTGGTCAGTGTCTGTCTCTGCATCAAATTGCCACTGCCACTGTCCTGCCTCTCATCCTTACCCAGCAGTTCTGGTACACTGTGCTTTCCTGTCCCCTTTTTTGCATGGTCTTCAGTGTTTGTTGGGCCTTTGCATGTAAACTGTCTGAACAATAACCCATGAAAAAGGTAGCTAACTTACAAAAGCATGCTTCAGTTCTTTTATTATCAGAATTGTACATGGACTAAAAAGGGAATATTATATTTTGGATAAGAAATTAAGTGACAGCTTTCAAGAAGGTCTGATATACAAAGTTTGTTACATCTTTTGAGGGAAAGCAGAGAGTGTAAATATATGTTTATTTGGCAGTAGGTGGGTGATACACAGGATTATGTGTATGACTCCTTGATGAGGTCCAGGAGCAGCACTGCAGCTATAACCATTACTTATGGAGCCCATTTTAGCCTTCCAGTTTGTACTGTAGGTAGATGCTGTCTGGGAATGCCTTTTCTTAATCTCTTATTCTAGCTAATCTATGTCTAAAAAAAAGAAGTAATTTTCTCCATGAGAAAGGGAGAAAAGGATGTGAACTTTTCTCTAGCTCCCTGGCTCTGGTGGAGAGAATTGTTTCTGCTAGTTCCAGCTTTGAAGTTTGCTCTTTTTTTTCAAAACTTGCCTTTGCTTCTGTTTGCAGTTGTGTTAATTGATATTTTTAATGAAAACTTTGAAGTCTGCATGTCCTCAAAGACGCTTTGGTTGATTTTTATTTTAATTTTTTTTTTTTTTAATTGAAGGCAAATAATTCTGTTGTCTTGCCCTTGTTTTGTTTTCTTCTGGGATTAGGGTCCTGGAAGGAGGAATTGCATTTTAAGTGAGTGTAGTCTGTGAATGTTTCTTTAAAACAATACAAGAAACTCTCCAGATAATTTCTATTGCATTCCACAGATAAATGCTTTTAAGGAGCACTTAAAACACAATGATTACAGGAAATGAGGTGCTTGTCTCAGTGTCTTGACAAATATGAACATGCTCCATGGAAGCAGGTTGCTCCTAAGAATATAAAATGATTAGCATTGCAAGAAATAAGTCCTTGCTAAAATTATAATAACAAAAAAAGATTTTGAAGTATTTTTGTTGTTAAATTTGTCACTTGCTTTGCTTGCATTCAGCTTTTTTTTTTTTTTTGCTATTTTGTTTTTCTTCCAGTAGATGTCTGAGAATACAGAAGGTACAGGTTAGAAGAAGCATAACTTGCCCTTGAGAGCTGGCACTATTTCTGTCCTGCTTTTTTATGCTATGTATTTAGTATAAGGTCTTTTTATTGACCAGGATATACAATAGCATATTGGGGATGAATAAAACCCCACAAGTTATGCCCACTATCCCAGATGAGAATTTGACCTTTTTTTCATATAGACCATAACTTATTAAAAAAAATCTGGTTTAAGCACTGTTATATTTTTAAGTACTGTGGGTTGTTTTTTTTTTCCTTTAAACCAGGCTGCCTAGTTACTGAGTTGGACTGCTTGAACATAGTAGGAAAAGAATTACTGTGATTTTTAAGGTTTTTAAAAACACCCTAAATACTTTCAGGATGGGCCTATGAACAAGTGTTTTAGTATATAACGATGTACATTTTTCAACTGGAAAGCCATGATACTCGATCGTAAAACCCTTTACTTGTTCAGTGTTGCATATTACCCAATCTGTATGTCATTTAAAGCCATGAGGAAAGAGTTTCATAAGTGGGAATTAAAGGTATTTTAGGACTCTGAAAATCTCCGTCATTTTATGAATCTTACTGAAGGCAGAATAAGGGTGAAACAGTTGAAGAGTTACTTAGCCTGTGAATCGCCATGCAGTATGAATAATAGGCAGAATGTAGACTTCTAGGCAGAAGACTTTTGAGTATGTATGCAGTTGAGGGGAGGTTGGACAGAGCTACGAGTTACTTTCACTGTCTACAAGAGTCAGCTGTGTCCTTGGATACCAATGCATTATAGTTTCTTTGCAATGCAAGTTTAGAATATAAGATGCAGTCCCCTTCCTTTCCAAAAGTGGGTGTTGTACAGATCCTCAGCCACGGTTACAGTTCTTAGCTGTTTTCTTTGTTTTGTAGTCCCTAAATATCCACAAAAGATAAAATCTGTGTTAATTTAAGGAAAAACTTTCAAGTGGATTCTTTACTAAAGCATACTTAGAACCAAAAGCATAGCTGAACTTACCTGAAATGCCTATTTGAGCAGTAGAACTCTTGGTATCCCAGTGCTGCTGCTTCTTTAGCTTTACAGGGAGGTGCCTTCAAATTTTAAAGAAGCTTTATTTTTATAGCACATAAATGCTTTATGCATCTCTTTGAGTAATATGACTACTGCCACATTCCTTAAATCTGTGTGAGTTGAAAGTTGCCCAGTTTTGGCTTCAGTATTGCATCAGATGGCCAAATAAAACTGCTCTTTAATCTGATTTTCAGCCTTATTCTGGGATTCAGGATCTGCCTGACTTTTGAGAACAGAATTTTAAAATAGAATAGTGTCTCTCAACAGCCTGATACTCCCCCCCTGCACCAGTGTGCTAAGCATTCAGCTTTTGAAGGTCTGCCCATAAATTTTCTCTCTCTGCTTTCAAGTAATTCAAGATACTTCATGTTTTAAAACTTTGTACGCATTCCTTTTTTTTTTTGCTTGTACTATCTATAACATGACAAACTGCAATAGGTCTTTGATTTGGACTTGTAAGTAACATTGTAGTACAGATGAATACTGCTGCACTGCCTGCTAGTTTTCATATTCAGGCAGAGAGGGCTGGTGTAGTTTTTTAGTCTTAAAAGCTTGTGATGATTTCGGGAAGAAGCTGCGTGCAGAAAACTTCATACATTGAGAGGTCTGAATGGAAGATCTGACTTAATCAGATCCTCTGAAGTAGCTATGCTGGCCCTGAAGCTACTCCTTTCACCTTTGCAAATTGCCGTACTCTTTTGCAGAACAGTGAAGATGAAGACTTGCATGCTGCTGTCTGTAGCTGGTGTGAGAGACAAAGGAGTTAAATATGTGCTGTAAAAATGTGGGTGCAGAAGAAGCAAAAGGTTCAGAGTTTTTTATGGTCTAGAAGAGTGAGTCCAGGCTGTGCTTGTTTCAAGGTCCTACTTTGCCGTTCTGTGAGGAATTAGGACTTCATGACAGAATAACTGCTTAGATGGATCCAGGCTCCTTAGGGCAACGCCTTGTCTCAAACAACTAGCCTGTTAGCCCTAGTTCAGCTCCAGTTCCTGGCTGCATCCTGCCTATCCTTTCTTCTGCATGTCTTCTGCTACTGCTTGATAATTGGTCAGTTGTACCATAACTGTTGAGAGCTAATTCCTGGAGATAAGGCTGCTATAAAGCAGTTTCAGGACATATCTAACTTCTGAATGTGGCTTAACAAGGCCTTTTTTTTGTTGTTTGTTTTGTTTTGGTTTTTTTTTTTTGTTATTGTTATTGTTCTGGGAAGGGTGGGAAAGAGTCAGGAATTTTGTAGCTTTTTCTGTTTTCTGGTCTAAGAAAAGGCTGGGAAGGTAATAACTCGTGTTTAATAACATCAAATGACTGGCAAAATTTCTGGCCAAAAAGTGGAGATTTATTATACTTTACAGTTATGTTCACTAGGTAAATTAAGAAAGAAATCAGGAATATAAATTAAAACCTGTGGGAAGAGTTTAATGTCAGTTACTCTTGTTTCATAAAAGCATGTAGAATAAAATTTCTGCAAAATTCTGGGCTTTGCAGGTTAAGAAGTGTTTCATTAGAAATGCAGTAATTTTAAATGGTCATTAAGATGAACTATAGATATTTCTACATTAATATTTTGGCTGAATTGAACAGGATGAAACGTGTTTTCAAAACAAAGTGTTACTTTTTTATTTAATGCATAGTGGTAAAACAAATCCTTGAATTTTATATGACAAATGTAACATTGAACCGTGTGGGCTTTCCAGGGATTGCTTTTGCTCACACTAACTCAGAATACACTTGAATTTTCAGTGACGGCTAATAGCTGTCCGTGCTTAATGGCACCTTTCCTCTGGTGTGACATACAATGTTTAGTTTTTCTGTTTCACGCATTCTTAGGTGCACTTTATATTATCAGTTATGAAATTTACCCTCTTGAAGCCTTACCATGATATTGTTTCCTGTTTTGAGGAAGAAAAATTGCTGCTTATGGAGTTTCTTCTAGAATTAGATACAGATTTCTTCCTTTGTAGTTTATATGGCAAGTGATTTCTCATATTGTGCTATAAGATAATATAATGGATAATCCGTTCATAGCTGAAATTCAGGCTTGCTTCAGATTAACTAGAAACAAAATACTCACTTTATTTGGTTATACATTACATTGTTCAAAACAAATTATCTTTCTTTTATTTGTAGAAATGGATGATGAGGACTGTGAAAGGAGGAGGATGGAGTGTTTAGATGAAATGTCCAATCTTGAAAAGCAATTTACAGACCTTAAAGATCAGTAAGTATTTTAATGTTTTAAGTGCCTCATTTGAGGATCCATTCCTTAAAAATATCGTGTGCAGCTGGTGTTTCTTGTCTTTCATATATGTGGATGCTACTTCTGGAGAAGAACAAGGATTGGGAATTCTGAAATTATTTGCAGGCAGTTGCTCTAGAGTGCTTTTACGTATTGCTGTAAGAGTGGTTTCAGAGTGGTTTTGCTGTGAAGGGCTGGTGTGGGTATATTACATCAAAGTCCTTAGCAGAACCAATGAATTGTAATTTTAAGGAAACTTGTGGTGTTTTTCAATTTATATATTTATTTACTCAAGATCTCATCCTTTTATATGTGTGGGACAGATGTAAATACTGTCTTTGCTGAATAAGAAATGAAGCTGTTATTTTTTCAGAGTATTGCACCAGTTTTTATAGTTGATAACAATGAAAGTTTCTTGTGTCTACTGGTACCCAGATACCAATAATAAAAAAAAAGAAGAAAATACTGTTAACTTTCTGTCTGTAGTCTGTCTGCCATAATACCTACATCAGCAGTAACGACTTAGTAAGTATTAATAGTAATAATTAATAGTTATTCAAAAGTGAATCTCATTTGTATTAGAGCCAGTGTTTTGTGTGTATTTTAAGTTGTTTGTTGTTTTTTTTTTCCCACATGCCCAGACAAGCTAGATACATCTGTTCTGATTTAAATTGGTGGTAACTTGGCAACTAGCTTAATCGAATACCTGACAAAGTGACACTTTGAGGAGACCTTGTCTGTTCTTTGGCATATATTGAAAATCAAGTCAGTTGTCACTGTTTCAGATGTGTGTTTGTATTGTGAGATCTTTCTGCTGCAGAACTGAGACATACAACTCGCTTTGCCTAACAGGACACTGTGAGGCCCACCTTACTAGGACTGGAAAGAATTGCCCAGCAAGCAGTTTCTTGCTGCAGTGTTTAGGGAATACTGTCTTGCTGTTCTTTCTTGGGCTGAGCAAGAAGCAAGCTGCAAATGGAGCCAGCTGATGAGTTGATACCTACTGGTTTGACATTTGGATATCCTCCAGCTTTTGAGTTCAGCTCTACTCTTCCATCTTTTGGACAGCTTGGATGACTGAAAACAGATTGTGGAAACAAACCTTTAAGGAGTGAATATGAAGAAAGGTGATCTTAGGAGGAAGGAAAAAAGTATTTCAGGGGGGTTAGGGATTGTGAATGGTGTTTGGGAGTTGGTAAGGCTGTGGTATATGAGGAGGAAGGTCTTGTGGAAACACTGGTTAGTGAGATTGGTGTGGTTTTAGGGGCTGGAAAAAGTGTGATGGTGGGATTACTAGGAAAGGAGCATTAGAATGATGGAACAAAGATTATAGGAAGGAGCAGATGTGAGTAGGGGAGTGATAAATTTGGGAAAGAAGAAAAAGATGCATGAACAGTGGGATGTTTAGCCACAACCAGTAGCAGAGATGAAGTGATTGCATGTACCTCCTCTTCCTTTTCAGAGAAACTGAATTTAGATGCTATGAGATAAGTAGGATTTGCAGTGGCTGATAGCAGTTAAGCAAATCAGTGTTTGAAAGTACTGGATAAACAGTTTTAGTCCATCAGCTGCTGCATGGTACCAAAGACTTCTCACTCTGATGTAGCTTGAACTTGGTGATGTGTAATCAAATGTCAGTGACCCACCCAGTCATGTGCTCTGCAGCCACGCTTATGCACTAGCTAAATAATTCTGCTGTAGCTCTCTATGTGTTAGCAGTTGTGTGCTCATCAAGGGTTGAGCCCATCAGGCTGGATTTTGATCAGCTGCAGGCTTTGTCAGTTGACTGCAGGACAGATTGCATGTGTAATACTTGGTTTGCAGGTAAGGAGGGGAGTGATCACTGACAATTGCTAGGTTAGGTACACAGGCTTGAACTATGGAGTTGTCATCAGAGTAAAGTGATGAGCAGTAAGGCAGCATCCCTGTCCCAAAGACATCTGTTTTATCTATGTAAACAGATACAACAAAGATATGTTTATCTGTGTAAACGAGCAACATCTGATGTGCTCTTTAACCTGTGCAACAGAGTTTGTACATGTTTGCCTTAATTTTACAGGTTTTGATTGTTGAGTGCAAGGTTAAAAATGAGAACAGGGGAAGCTGGTTATATTGATGACTCTGCTGTTCAACACTATATTGTTATTACACTGTTTGCAACTGATAACTTACCAGTTACAAAGGTCAGAGTTTTATCGTGATTGAAATACTTGTAATTGATAGTACATTAAATTCTTTAAAATGCAAACAGATTCTTCATTGTTTACCAGTAAATATTTTAAACACACTTCCTTTGGCAGGAATGGAAGATATAAGCTACAAATTATCCTGTGATATTTGTGATAATATGCAATATGTGGATTTTAACACGAGGTGGAATGAGGGTTGCTTCAGTAAGAGCCTACCTCTCTTTTCTCTTGGTTTATGATAGGGTGGGAGCAGATATGTGAACATGAAAGCAAATGGGTGTTTCTGTCCACCAAATGTCTATCTTTCTCTTCCATGATGTAAGCCATATTGTTCTCATGTATTGTAGCACCCTTTCTTGTCCTCTTCCATGTTGATTCACCTCCTACTCCATCTTAATCCTATTAACAGTTGTGTGTTGTTTTTTTTTCCCCTTCTTCCTTAGAGATGGAATATTTCTTCTAGCCTGTGTTTGCTTTTAAATGAAATAAATACTTTTGTTTTGTTTTTTTTTGTTTCTTTGTACTATTTTAAGGCTTTACAAAGAAAGATTAAGCCAAGTGGATGCAAAGCTACAAGAAGTCATAGCTGGAAAAGCACCTGAATATTTAGAACCATTGGCAGCTTTACAAGAAAATATGCAAATCCGAACTAAGGTGGCAGGTAAGGCATGTAAAATGAGTATTGCTGTTTCTACAAGTATAAACTTGCTGTGTATTTTGAGGTCAATCTTTTTTCTTTAGAATTGTTAAAGGAGTGTGTTTTAAAATTAGAAATACTGTAGCATAGTTTAAAATGTATCCTGTGTAAAATATTTTTTGATTCAAAATGAATAGATTGCTTACCTCTTTGCACAAGTTGCCTGATAACATCACACTAAAAATGTCTTTTCTTTTTTTTAATGTTTCACTTAATGGCTGTGTTTGTGTAGTAAGCACAAAATTACTGAATTAAAACCACTAATTTTTTGTTAGTCAGAAGATTTGGAATCAAGTCTGCACACTGGCCACTGTTGAAATGAAGAGATACGTAGCTGCTATTTCGTGAAGTTCTTGCCAGATCATCTTGGCTGATAATGTGTTTTCTGCTTTTCTAATCTGTCTCTTCTCTTGTTCCATCTAGGGAGGGAGCAGGACTCTTATCCTTAGCAGCTTTTATCTGAGCTGCATTTTAATTATTAAAACTAATACTTAGGCTTTTATGCTTACAGAAGAAGCAGGCAGGAACTTTCATGTTTTTCTGGGATACAGCCATATTACCATGTGGAATTGGTGGTATTGTAGGAAGACTAAGTTCTGTTCTTCCCTACTGTAAATTCTTTTAATGTTACAGCTCAACTTCTTTATGAGTAATTCAGTGGTCTGAGGGTTACCTAACACAGGCTGTCAGAAAGCCAAAAAGCAGATGTTTTGATCTCTTTAGCCAGAGAAACTATGCCAGTGTCTTTTCTAAGAAATTCAGCAAAAATGTGGTGCAGGCAAACTGGAAAATGGCAAGCTTGCTTTCGTTTTTAATAATACTAGTGCTGCTTCAGTGCTATTCAGTTTGTCTTCATTGGTACTTTTGACATCAGGCTATGAAGAGAATTTGAAATCTTTTGACCAATTGCATTTTTCTCCGTCCTGGTGGTCGTCACTTTTCCATACCTGGTGACCCACAATGTCTTGGGCTTTAAGGTCTTAACCCAAATTTACTTGACTCATCCTAAGTAGCCATTTGGGCTTTGTAGAAAGTTTGCAGGTGAACTTGCAGAAGATTTGATGTAAAAGCAACCTTAATCCATGCTTTTGATTTTCAGTTTTAAATGTGGCTGCCTTTCAGTAGGTGGGGATGGATAGGCAGCATATTACAGGTTCTCCTGATTCGTCTTCAGCAGCACTGAAGATCAATGTTCCATTGTAAAAAGAGTCCAGCATAAAAACTACAAACTTGCCTTGAAGTTGAGACTGGAAATCAGGATTTGGCTGGCTTGGTTTTTTTTTTGTTTGTTTGTTTTTTTCTCCCTTCTTTTTTTCCTCAACTGGATGAGATTGATAAAATTATTCCAGGGAAAGCAAGAAAATGCAGAACAGGCTTATTTGCTCTTGCTTGGCAGAAGTGGGTAGGACTTGAGCTTGTGCCGGTAATCCCTGAGTATCTGAGAAAGGGATGGGGGAAAAAAAATGCTGAAGTATGATTAGCTGAACTAGAGATATAGAATCATAGAATCGTTAGGGTTGGAAAGGACCTTAGAGCATTCACAACCTCCCTGGGCAACCTATTCCAGTGCCTCACCACCCTAACAGGAAAGAATTTCCTTCTTATATCCAACCTAAACTTGCCCTGTTTAAGTTTGAACCCATTACCCCTTGTCCTGTCACGACAGTCTCTAATGAAGAGTCCCTCTCCAGCATCCTTATAGGCCCCCTTCAGATACTGGAAGGCTGCTATGAGGTCTCCACGCAGCCTTCTCTTCCCCAGGCTGAACAGTCCCAACTTTCTCAGCCTGTCTTCATACAGGAGGTGCTCCAGTCCCCTGATCATCCTCGTGGCCCTCCTCTGGACTTGTTCCAACAGTTCCATGTCCTTTTTATGTTGAGGACACCAGAACTGCACACAATACTCCAAGCGAGTTCTCACGAGAGCAGAGTAGAGGGGCAGGATCACCTCCTTTGACCTGCTGGTCACCCTCCTTTTGATGCAGCCCAGGATACGGTTGGCTTTCTGGGCTGCGAGCGCACACTGAAGCCGGCTCATGTTCATTTTCTCATCGCCCAGCACCCCCAAGGCCTTCTCTGCAGGGCTGCTCTGAAGCACTTCTCTGCCCAGCCTGTAGCTGTGCCTGGGATTGCTGTGACCCAGGTGTAGGACCTTGCACCTGGCATGGTTAAACCTCATGAGGTTGGCATCAGCCCACCTCACAAGTATGTCAAGGTCCCTCTGGATGGCATTCCTTCCCTCCAGCGTATCAACCGAACCACACAGCTTGGTGTCATCGGCAAACTTGCTGAGGGCACACTCAATCCCACTGTCCATGTCAGTGATGAAGATGTTGAACAAGACCGGTCCCAACACCGACACCTGAGGGACACCACTCGTTACTGGTCTCCAGCCGGACATTGCGCCATTGATCACAACTCTTTGTGTGTGGCCGTCCAGCCAGTTCTTTATCCACTGAGTGGTCCATCCATCAAATTGATGTCTCTCCAATTTAGAGACAAGGATGTTGTGTGGGACAGTGTCGAATGCTTTGCACAAGTCTGCGTAGATGACATCAACTGCTCTGCCCCTGTCCATCAGTTCTGTAGCCCAATCATAGCAGGCCACCAAATTGGTCAGGCAGGATTTCCCCTTGGTGAAGCCATTCTGGCTGTCACCAAGCACCTTGTTGTTTTTCATGCGCCTTAGCATGCCTTCCAGGAGAATCTGCTCCAAGATTTTGCCAGGCACAGAGGTGAGACTGACTGGTCTGTAATTCCCTGGGTCATCCATTTTCCCCTTCTTGAAAATGGGGGTTATATTTCCCGTTTTCCAGTCATCGGGAACGTCACCTGACTGGCATGATTTCTCAAATATGATGGCCAGCGGCTTCGCAACGTCATTTGCCAGCTCTTTCAGGACCCACGGATGGATCTCATCAGGACCTATGGACCTGTGCACGTTCAGGTTTTTAAGATGGTCTTGAACCAGTTCCTCTCCTACAGTGGGCCCAAGGTCTTCATTCTGACAGTCCCTGCGTCTGCCTTCCAAGACTTGGGTGGTTTGGTCAGAGCCTTTGGCAGTGAAGACCGAGGCAAAGAAGTCATTCAGAACCTCAGCCTTCTCCAAATCCTGTGTAGCCAGTTCTCCCAAGAGCTTCCTGAGAGGGCCTACATTCTCCCTAGTCTGTTTTTTATTTGCTATGTACTTGTAGAATCCCTTCCTGTTATCTTTAATACCTCTAGCTAAGTTTAATTCTAACTGAGCCTTAGCTTTCCTAACCTGGTCCCTAGCTTCTCGGACAACATCCCTGTACTCTTCCCATGCCACCTGTCCTTGCTTCCACTTATTATAAGCCTCTTTTTTCAACTGACTTTTCCTCAGGAGCTCCTTATCCATCCAAGGAGGTTTCCTGGCCCTCCTGCTGCACTTCCTTCTGGTTGGGATGCAACACTCCTGAGCTTGCAGCAGGTGATACTTGAATATCAACCAACAGTCTTGGGCCCCTCTGCCCTCTAGGGCTGTATCCCATGGAACCTTCCGAAGCAGGTTCCTGAAGAGGCCAAAGTCTGCTCTTTTGAAGTCCAGGGCAGTGAGCTTGCTGCACGCTCTTCTCACTGTCCTGAGGATCTCAAATTCGAGCATCTCATGATCGCTGCATCCAAGGCTGCCCTGGAGCGTCACATTTCCAACAAGCCCTTCCCTGTTGGTGAGCACGAGGTCAAGCATGGCATCTCTCCTTGTTGGCTCCTCTGTTACTTGCAGAAGGAAGTTGTCTTCCACACAATCGAGGAACCTCCTGGATTGCTTGTGCCGGGCCGTACTGTCCTTCCAACAGATGTCAGGGTGGTTGAAGTCACCCATGAGAACAAGGGCCTGCGAGTGTGAGGCTTTTCCTGCCTGTCTATAGGGTGCTTCATCCGCAGGTTCTCCTTGATCAGGCGGTCTGTAACAGATCCCCACAGTAATGTCTCCCATAGCTATATTCCCTTTAACCCTGATCCACAAACTCTCTGTGGACTGCTCACCTGTCCCCAGACAGAGTTCCGTACTCTCCAGCCTATCCCTAACATAAAGGGCAACTCCCCCTCCCTGCCTGCCAGGCCTGTCCTTCCTAAAGAGCCTGTAACCTTCCATTCCAACACTCCAGTCATGGGAGCCATCCCACCATGTTTCTGTGATGCCTATTATATCATACCCCCGTAGACGTGCACACATCTCTAATTCCTCTTGTTTGTTCCCCATGCTATGGGCATTTGTATAGAGGCATCTGAGCCAAGCTCCACCTGAAGCCGGCTCATTGGCTGGATTGGCTGGGATATCTCTACATTGCTCCAAGCATTTATTATAGGTTCTGGCAACTGACTGGGTGTGTTGGGATGGAATGATGCCCCCCTCCCCCAACACATCTAGTTTGAAGCCTTCTTGACCAGTCTGGCAAGCCTCCTACCAAAACTGCTCTTTCCCTTCTTTATCACAGCAGCTCCACCAGCCCCCACTAGACCTGGCCTACAAGCTTGGGTCCCATGTTCAAGACACCCAAACCCCTGACTATGACACCACCCTTTTAACCAGTTATTAACCTGGCTAATCCTCCTAGCTTTTTTTAGGTCCTAAAATAAAAGAATATAATTGCATCTGCGCTGGAAAGGGTACTTGTGTTTGTCTGCTGTCTAAGGCACTGAGCACTATTCACACAAAATGTGGATCCTGACTGTTCCAGGAAGTTGGGAATAGAACTGTTTCTTCTGGAAGTGTTCATATTTATACTGCTTAATTTCTGGGAAATAAGCTGTGATTATAAATGGGTAGACCTAGATACGGCAGTCAGCCATAAATATTAACCCCTTCCCCCAAACAAACAAACCCTAAACAAACCCCCAAAACCCAACCAACCAAACAGCATAACAAAAGAACACTTTGAATTCTAGATCAAAAGTGACTTCACAGCAGAAAAGTGATTGACATAATACTTTGAGGTTTATTTTTCAGACCTGTTGCTGGTAACAGAATTATTCCTCTTGTACTATATTAAATTATAGTCAAATAAATTCTAAGCAAAGTTTTTCTTTGGAGTTCTTCATTTGCTAGACAGCATTAATGTGTGTGCAAACTTAACTCCTCAAGATGGTAATCTGGAACAATTTAAGTATTTTGTGTGAATGCGTTGACTGTATTAAATCAAGTTCTATCTGTACTTGCCAGATACTACATTTCAGATATCTTTCAGATTTTTTTTCAGCTGTCTTTTTAGTAGACACATTTTCAGAAATGTGTAAGAAATGCTCCCAATACTCAGAAGCAGTATCCTTTGTATTGCAAGGTGGCTACTTCAAAGAATAGGACAGTGTCTTGTTAATTGATGTAGTTTATTAAGGTCATGCATTATGAAGTAAGCTTTATTATATTAATTTATAAAAGCTTGTTTTTTTCATTCAGTTTTCTAGCTATTTAAAAACCTCAAAACATTATTTAAAACTCTAATTAGAAATTAGAAGAGGCCATTTGGTACTTTGATTTGAAAATTTGATTTGGTAATGAATTTGAAAACGGAGGATATCCAGGATAATTTGAGCATAAATATGACATTGACCAATTTTGTAAAGTTAGCATGACTGCTGGTGTAATTTGTTGACAAATGGGAAAAGTTAAAATAGCATTTATTTTTCCTCAGATCTTTGGAATTAAAGGATTACTTGTTCTTATGTTTACTCTGTAAAGCAGCCAGCCACTGCAAGTGGCTAATAGATCTGTATTTTCTAGTATGTTCATGTTTTGGGACTTGCAGGCAGTCTTAAAAGAGATTTCTAAAATCATACTAGCTAAAGAAAGTAATATTGCTGTAATTTGTCTGATTACAGGTATCTATAGAGAGCTTTGTCTGGAATCTGTGAAGAACAAGTATGAATGTGAAATTCAAGCCTCTCGACAGCACTGTGAGGTTGTGCCAGCTATTTGACATTGATAGCTAATCTTATCTAACTTTATGGTGTCATGCTTTCCCAGTTCAGTGCATGCTTTGATTATTGCTGTTATTTGCTATTTGAATGCAATTGCCTTGTGAAATTTAAGCCTATGTAAGAGGTTATTCAAAGCATATAAAAATTTGCTTTATATTACTTTGACTTTACATGTAAGTGTAACTAAGTTTTATTTTTCATTAACAAGTTCTTATTAATAGATTACCACATTATTTCTTTTACCTTTGTTGTAAGAAGATTACTAAGAACAGTAACTAAAATATCTGACCTAGTTTTAGCCAAAAGAACCTTACATTTTAATAACAACAATGACAACTAAAATAATAATGATACTATTAATGTCTTTTTTAGATGCCTTAGAGAGCTGGTGGTGAAGTTATCATTTCAAAAGCAGTTACAGGAAAAATATATCTCTCCTTGAATATAAACATTCCTGTTTAAGTATCTAAATATACTGGATACCGTAGTAAAAATACTCATGTCCAATGCTGTAATATAGCTGCTTAGGTAGTGAGGTTTGTGCCATAGCACTCCTCAGCCCTATTGCAGTTGCTTAAAGGTGTTTTCTTTGGCGTGGTTCCTGAAGTCTGTGGCTCCTTCTATACAAATAAGGCACATACTTTAAAAAAATTTAAAAAATCTATATTCCTGGTGCCATGAGAAAGAGCAAGGTATAATAAGAACTACTCATTACTGACTGTCTTTGCTCCTGGGAATACTCTAGAGGTTGGGCAGAATCCTGTAAGACTTACAGGGTTTCTCATCTGTGATTGATTTGCTTTGGCTATATATTATTCCTCTTTAAGGTGGTCTTTCTACCTTGTTTTGCTGTTATGTTTCTACTGAGAAACCTTCAGAATTCAAATACTCATCATGCAGTAAGGTCTTTACAGTCAGCAGTGCTGCTTATTCCGCTGGAAAATGACCATTCAGCAGGAATGCCCCTGATGTCTGTAACAGCTTTTCACACCTTACTTGTCTCCAAGACCTTGAAGCAAAACAGATGTCTAAACACAAACACTATTTCATTTTAAAATGGAATTTTAACATATTCTTGGAACAGATAACACTTGTTTGGCATTTCAGGCATATGTAAGAGGCTTTTGCCTTTTCAGTTCTACTGGGAATTATTTTTTTTTTTTTTCTTTTTTAATAAGGGATTGAAAAATATTTGAAGGGAGGTCTTTGGAATTTAATATGTTGTAACTTGCAGGGAATAGTAAATGTGACAGCCATTTAGTAGAACAGGGTTCTTTGTCTATTCCTCAGCTACTTTGCTTCACTCCAGCATACTAGCTTGAACATCAGTAAAGGTTAAGTTTCTGTTAGTATGCTATGCTATGGGCAGGAGCAGTTGAGGTGCAGAAATCTGCTGACTTGGCTTTAGGGGCTGCAGCTTCTGGCAGAGACATGGTAGCAAATAGCTAGATGCAGCGACTTGTGCTGTTTAAACTGTTTTGGTTTTTTTGTTGTTTTTTTTTTCAGTGAGCATATCCAAGCCCTCTGTTTTCCAGAGTTGTTAAATACGTTGCTTAGTGATAATGAACTTTAAAATGTAGCAATTAGCTGTATTTCCTAATCATGCTTTAAGAGATGTGCAAGCTGATGAAAGAACAGTAAATTTAGAGGCCTGGAACTCTGCTTAATTCCAAGTTACTGGCTTGGAGAGTGTAGTGTTTCTTGATGCTGCCTTTAAAGGGGGTAAGTGGTCTAAATAGATACTGTGTAATTTTGGTATCCTATTCAATGGACTGTAGAGCAGTTTACTACAAAGTTGATTTTTCTAGTTCAGAAATACTTAAGAGATGGAAGATAGCGTAGACAGCATGAAATGCTGTAGAAGGTTCACATCAGTCTGTGGTTTTGTTTGTGTATAAGAAGTGCTAATGGTACAGCTAACACTGAAGGCATTATGTTAATCTATTTGGATCAGAAATTGCTTTTTAAAAGGATGAACCAGCTAATTTTTCTAAAGCAGTGCTTCAGAAGTGTTTCTCACAGCTTTAGGGTAGATGGTTTTGCTTTCACAACTATAAATATTTTATGTGCTCAAGAAATTCTTCTGTGGGAAAGTATTTTTCAGATCTATGAAAATAGTTAAAAATACATGGTAATAGGTGATAATTCTGTATAAATTACTGCAGGTTTATTAATATTGGGGGCAGCTGAATATAAAGCTTTCCATGAAAAACATTAGCTTTTCTGATTTTATAATGAAGGATGGCATAGAGGTCACTACAGTTATTCATTGTGAATAAATCTTTGCTATCCAAAAGGAAAATGCTGTATTTGTGTCAAAATACAAACAGTTATTCTGACGATCTAGCTGCATGCTTTTATCCACTTAGTTATTCTTGGTATTGATATTTGATAACTATATTTACGCTTATGCTAAGTGAATGCGCTGTCTTTAATGTGGTAGAGTCTCATGCTAAGAAAGTGGATAGGGGGAGATGTCATGCTTTGTGGCTTCTGAAAAATTTTCACCTAAAGCTACTCTTGCCTTCCTTCTGCTGAGGCTTTAAATTGTTGTCATAGCTTTAGATGATAGAACTTAGTAATGTAAAATGTGTAACTTATTTCTCTTTTAGAGTGAAAAGCTTCTGTTGTATGATACCGTACAAAGTGAACTAGAAGAAAAGATTAGAAGACTTGAAGAAGACAGGCATAGCATTGACATTACCTCAGGTGGATAGAAATTCAAAGTTGTTGGGGTGGTTTTTTGTTTGCTTGTTTGGTGTTGCTATTTTTTTTTCTTAATCTTCTGGTGGCTACTGATTAACAGACTGTTCACATGGAATGTCTGGTGAGTTTCCGGTTATCCAGCAGGATGCTATTCGACTGTAAACTTTGGACAGAGGTTGAATTTAAGCTTAAAACAAACTTTGATCTAGTAATTGTCAGTTTTCCATGTGTGTTTTGAGAGTATTAATGTATGAGTATGTAATTACGTAACACTTTCATTTTGTTCAGAAACAGCATTTCCCCAGAAAAAAGTTATTTGTCATTTTTTGACAATTTCTCTGCTGTTAAAAGAGTTAAAATTATAAATGTTTCTGATTTGTAGCATGTTCTTATGTCTTTTCAGAATTATGGAATGATGAACTACAGTCCAGGAAGAAAAGGAAGGATCCATTTAGTCCAGATAAGAAGAAACCTGTTGTTGTATCAGATATCCTTTTACTGAAATCGTTGTTCTTTCTAGTAGTATTTACTGGTTTATAGCTAGTCTTACTATATGTGTCATAAACAAGAAGTTGAAGTGATAATGCATTCTCAAAATTTATTTTTGCACGGCAGCTGTTATTCAGGTTAGGGAAGTCATGTTGACACATCCTATTACAAAAATTGAAATTAAAATTATCTAACTACTAGTTTCACATAGAGAACATTTCTAAAAGGTGATTTTTCTAATTCTTCAAAAAAAAAGATCTGCAAGGCAAACTCATTAAAAAATTAGGCATTATGTTTGCAAAGTATAACTTGACTTGTGTAACTTCTCCTGACTTGTGTAACTTTGCTTCTTATTCTGGTATACCTTTGTCTCAATTTATTACTTCTTAACAATTCCATAGACTACAGAAACTCTTTAATCAAAAGTTTAAAATTCAAAGAATTGAGCTGATTAGAGGGATTGTTTGTGGGCTTGGGGTTCCTGTAGAGAGAGTATAGTATTTAAAAATTGTGCATTGATTACTTCATAGCTGTTGACAAGCAAACTTTTTAAGGTATAACAACTAAGAGACAGTATCATCTTTCTCCACAGAAAGAAGGAGATGCCTTTGCAAACTTGAGTATTCTTTCTTCTCCTACCCCCAGCCCAACATTTTTATAGGGTAGAAATATGGTGGCTTGGAAGTTGCCAGAATTGTGGAGACTTCCTAGAAAAGACAAGGCTGGATGGGGCTTTGAGCAAACCAGTCTCGTGGAAGGTGTCCCTGCTGGCCCATGGCAGGGGGGTTGGAACTAGACGATCTTAAGGTCCTTTCCAAACCATTCTGTGATTCTAAGTAGTGACATTATATAGTATAAAGGCCATTTTTTATTGCTAACCTGCTGCAAAAAATCATGCTACTTTCACAAGCTTTCATGGTATCAGGAGAAGGTGGGAAGGAAGAAGTTTCTGAAAAAAAGCCCCAAAACCCTCCTTGGAGGATGTTCAGTTTACTGGAACATATACGAGATAGATGATTTGTCCTAGTGGTGGCAGTTCTTCCATTAGGATGCATTAGAAATTCAGTTCAGTAGAGGTGATTTTTAGCTAATGCTTAAAAGCCAGCTGGTATTAATCAATGTACCTACAAGTGGCTTCTTTAGTTTCTTAAGTCCTTTTTAGCAATTTGAATGCCATGTTGTGTGAAAGTATATTTTCTTTAGCCCTTAGCCATCCTTGTCTTTGGGTTGTCCATACAAATAACATTCAGATTCTGTGAATTATGAGCTACCTTGCTGTTTTACAATGCATTCCAATCAGAAAATGCTAACATAGTATTAGGTCTAAAACCCCAGCAATTTCAGGCAGTTAATAAAGTTGAAAATCCTTTCAGTTGTGAAGTAAATTAATTTTCTTTTTGCTTATGATTTTAAAATAGTTGTGAACTTGTCACTTTCTACAGATCTGTCTATAATCCTAGGAATTTAACATTTTTTAATTTATACTACTTTAGAGGGAAACAAATTTGAAAATGGCTAAAGATTTGTAAAATTTCAAATGGAACGTGAGTTGAAGCTTCTTTATCCCATTTTAGAATATTTAGTTTTTAAACATTCCTAACACTTTTTCTAAACTTATTTTTGAGAGATGAAATGGGGAGAAATGAAATAAAAACTGAAGACCGTTGTAATGGAATAGCAGTGCTATGTGGAATTTTGTTTTGAAGTTCATGTATCATAATAATACACAGTTTTTACAGTTGATAGTTCAAGGGAGGGGCTTTTCCTTTCTACTTGTGTTCTTTTTCTTTTTTTTTTTTGGTATTGATATTCAGAGATGTGGTGCTGTCTGTGCTTTTCTCTCAAAGCAATACGATGCAGAGTACTGTAAAAATAATTTTATTAAAGCTGATACTAGTGTAGATGCTGATTTTCAGTGGTCTGTTGGAATTGCAGGAAATTTTGACTGTAACTTGTAGAGTTGCAAATGGAATGATTTTTTGAACTGTTGGGGATGAAATGGTTTTATCACAATTGTTATTTTATCCTCTTCTTGAACTCCAGTAGTCTGAATATCTACATACTATTAATTATGTACTGTAACTAAAAATTACAGTTTTTAAAGTGTACTTCTAGCTTGCATAATTCAAAGATGCATTTATTTTTGCTTCACATAGGTATTCTTTGCTTGAAAGATTGGCATAACAGAGCAATTACTATCTTTCTACCAACATTACAGTATTTTTATTATTGCTTTTTAAAAGAGTTTTCCCTAACTTCTCCACGCCCCTATATAGTTTATATGTTACAAGACCTTGATATTCTTGAAGACTGGACAACCATAAGGAAGGTGAGATTAAAGGATGAATACCAAAGGTTTTGTTTGGGTTTTTGTCCAGTTCTTTTGCCTCTTAGAAGTATGTAAAGGTATTTCTTACATGATCAAAATTCTAAATAGATTTTTATTTCTTCAATAGTCAGCTAATCATTCCACTCGTTTTATACTTGTGCATATTTTGTTAACAAGAAGTAAAATGTGATGCCTATGTGAAAAATTGTCTGGCTTTTCATAACATATCAGAAGAATAGACACAAACCAGCTTTTCCTCAGTTTGTTTCCTATAGTGTAGCGTGATTTTTAAATAGGAGTGAATCCTAGAATTTACTGGGGATTTTGCCTTTTCTGGAAATAATTAAAAACAAACGAAAGCAAACAACCCCAGAAAACTTTGAGTGTTTTTTTTAAAACCTACTTTAATACTATGTGATCTACCGTTCGCATGAGAGAACAGAAAATGAGCTTGTATACAGTGTAAATCAGAAGAATAGATTGATCATATAGCATTTTGTTTTTTAGAATGAGTAAATGTCATTTTGTATTTTCTTGACAAAATTACAAAACAGAAATGGAGGTTTTAATTTATAAAACGTCTTGAGTGATTTGAACTCAAAACTTACATAAGAAGGTGATTCTTTTTCTTCCTCAAAATTCTGTTTTATTTAGTTATGGAGTCAGCGCTGAACACATATCTATTTTAGATTTGTTCCAGTTGTGGTTTTTTGCACGTAAAAGCAAGTATCCTGAGCTACACCACTCATAACTTCAGAGTCAAAGCTGGTGATTTAGCAAAAAAAAGAGTATTCTTGCTAACTAACTTAATTTTCATTTTTGTTTCAAGGCAATGGCTACACTGGGGCCACACAGAGTAAAGCCAGAACGTAAGTAAACATTGATTTCACAAGACAGAATTTGCTGTGTGTAATGCTGTAAACTGCATCTAGGCAGATCATACTTATTTTAGCCCTGGTGTAGTGATGGAGGATGGGGGGTGAAGAAGCTGAAAGATCTGGCTTTTGTCTTTCCCCTCTCTTGGGTGCTGATGCTTGTAGCTTGATTGCTGATGATTGTGTTGATGCCTGAATTCTAGAAAATTAGCAACAAAAATATAGACTTCAAGTGGGTTGTACCAGTTAACGTCAACAGGCTACACCAGTGTTTATGCGTAAGATGAGGCAGGAAACTGAGAGCACCTGGACCTTAGGAATGCATTGTGAAGGATGTTCACATTTGCTGCAAACTACAACCCTGAAAAAGTACAGCTGTGTTGAAGGAGTTGAGAAGCACATGAATGCTAGGTGAAATCAAGTTCTTGGACGTGGTGAGTAAGGAGGAAAAGGGAGAGGAAGCAAATAGATGATGTTTTTCTTTATTGGTGCATTACTACTTGCATTCTTTGGTAATGTGCTGATAAAGAGGTTTCAGGTTCTGCCATTTGAAGTAATCTTTATATTGCATTATTCGATTTGTGAAAATTCGTAGATCTGAAGGTTGTAGGGAAGATAGCTTCTATTTGAAAACGGAAATATAACTTATCTGACTGGAAATAGAAAAGTATCTTGCTTCCAATTTTTGTGCATTCTTGCAGTTACTTTTGATCATGGAAAGCGTGTATTCTGTGTAAATAACTTGATGAAAATATATTTAAATAACTAACTGACTTCTGCCAAGTCAATATTAAATTACTTTTATTGATCATTTTAGCACCTGTCAAATTAGAAAAGCACCTACACAGTGCTAGATCTGAAGAAGGAAGACTGTATTATGATGGAGAGTGGTATGGACGTGGACAGACAATATGCATTGATAAGAAAGATGAATGCCCTACAAGGTAAAGATTACTCAGATTGTGCAGCTCTGTACAATTCATATTAAGCAGTAGATAGGATGATGGCATTGAAGAATAAGGCTAATTAGGAAGTGCTGTCACCTCAGTAACATTTATTCACCTTGAAAGACAAGTATTACCAAAGAAGGTTGTGTGCTGGACTTCTGAGAGGCTAGTAAGGGTTGGAGTTAACTAAAGGTCATGAGATGTTTGTTAAAGTTAGGACCTCGCTAACAATGTAAGCTCCTTCTGGTTTATGAATACCCTTTGAGTAAGTTTTTTGAGTATCTTGGGATTTTGTTGCTTTGAAAATTTGATCTGCTGGCACACCAAAAATATTTGATTATAGAAAATCACTTTATACTATTAAAAATTTTTTTTTTTCAGTTGGTCAATGGTCTGAAAGAAAAAAGTTGGAACTTTGTAAAGAGAAGGAATTCCCATTTAAAAAGATTCTACGAGGGAGCAGTCTAAATATTACAGTGCAAATTTGGCTGAATGTTTTAGATACCTAAATGTATTTTCTCTGCATGGATAATATTTGCAAATTCTAAAATGTGGGTCTATTTAAAACAATATTTAAAATTAAATTTATATCTTACCTTTTACTGAATGAGACAAGTGGAATCTAAGCACAGTGTTGATTAAATATGTACAGCTACCCAGGAACTTAATATAGCAGTAAACTATATATATATATTATATATAGTAAACTACTGTAAAGCTGGCTGTTTCCTTTCTTCCCCCTGTATGGTAAAGGGGAGTGCATTTTGGTGCTTTTGGTGTTTGTTCAGGGTTGAAACATGAAGGTATTTTAATAAACTATGTATTGTTTCTGGAATAAAAAAAAAAAATCTGAATTGGTTTAGCAGAACATAGCAGTTACACTGGGACAAAGAAAGATCTCGGTATCCAGTGTCTGACAAAAGCCAAAACCTGACACGTAACAGGGCAAGCACACAGTGGACCTTTCCCAGACTTTTCAAGATGTCAGCAACTTTTAAGGATTAATTGTTTTCTGGAGGGAGTTTTGTCACACTCATTATTTAATTGATCTTTCTTCCATTAACTGTTTTAATCTCCGGTTTTGAGCCTTTTTTTGTCATCAATTGTAGTTGATTTTTTTTCTTTTTTTTTTTCCTTAGGGGTTATGGGGAGGGGGTTGTGTACACTGTTTGTGTGAAGGTTTACCACAAGGGGCATAAAAGCATAGTTCATGTAAGAATGATTCAGTAAATCAGGTTTTGACTTTCTCTTGGTATAATGACTAACAGTTGAATACTTTATCTGCTTTAAATCTTAGGCTTCTATCTGTTTGACTTTTTTTCTGAATACTTTGTATTCAGTGTAAAAACAGATCTCTTTTTTACCATGGGTTATCTATTGTGTTTTCTATCGGTGACTACTGTTCTTTTAAAATATTTGTACATGTTAAGGGTTTAAATAGATGGCTGAAAAATTAACTGCCTTCACTAAAGACACATGCAGTTACCAAAGAATTCTGTTAGAACTATCCTTACAATGGAGACAATATATTTTTGGTCTAGCATTTATAAGTAATGCATATTTTCCTTTTACTGTGTGGAAACACAGCTGCAGTTTTGAGGTTATTTATCAGCTTAGAAGTTTTCTAAATTCTTCTTGTTTTTCTTCCCCTGACCCTTCTTCCTTCATTTTCTGTAGTGCCATAATTACAACAATTAACCATGATGAAGTTTGGTTTAAAAGACCAGATGGAAGCAAGTCCAAGCTGTATATTTCTCAACTACAGAAAGGAAAATACTCAATAAAGCATAACCACAACTGACCATTGGTAATCTATGAAACAAGTGGTATTGCCATGCTTGATGTGCCATGGGGTGAAAGTTGTATTTAACAGTGTTTTGTATTTCTTATAAATTTACAGCAGTATCTGATGTGTATTTGTAGTGCTGTATGTAGACTTCATATGGACAGGCTTCAGAAACCTGAGGATGGTAAATCATGTCAACAAACATTTTACCTCTAAATTGGGTCCAGTGCCTAAGATATGAAGTATGCTCTTCAAGCATAATAGCTCAGAACTTCTCATCTTTGTAAAATAAAAAAATAAAATGCAGATTTAAAAAAAAAAAAAGACTTCCCCCCCCCCGTTGGTGTCCAGTTGGTGTGATTAAAAATAACTGTTATTACCAGCAACTCACTTTTTTTTCAGTGAACATGTCATGCTTCTTTTGTGGATGTAAATTTAGCCTGTTCAGCTGTTGCTTTTGAATAGATTGTAACATGAATAAGCATTCTTTTATCCAAAGCAGACTGATTTATTAAAATTATTGCACTCCACATCTCTGCTAGTACTGTCTGTGTTACATTTTGTAAGGTTTACTGTATTGCTTGTAATGGAACAAAGCCAATATTTGGAGCTACGTTTTTTGAGGAGCACTTTTCTGATTTATGACCCTATTCTATAGTAAATAAATTGTTGGTAATTTTTTTTTTTCTTTCCCAGATTTCCAGCAAAATTTATGTGTGAAGTAGACAGTGTTGCTCCAAACCTGTATTGTATGTAGCCCACAAAGAATGACGTGTAAATACTGTTGCATGCTCTGCTTGTTTGGTCCACAGTTGTATGAAATACTATGAGTCTTTTTTTCAAAAGGAAAGTATTTCCCCAGAAATCATATATGTGGGATAATTTATACTGACTTCGCCACCAACCACCATTTTCCAAATTTCTGTACCCAACTTCATCTTACTGTACACCAGAATTATTTTATGCAGCTTAGAAAGCTGAATTTCTCTTAAATCTTAGTTTTAAGTCACAGTGAAAAGTCCTGAATCCTTGATATTAATGTGATGTGTTTGGAGCATCTAGATTGACAGAGGGATTGCTGAAGAATTATTAATGCTTTGGTTATGTGCACTTTAGTCTCCACTTTTGATGATATTACTTGGAGAAAGAAAGCATCCATTTGCTTTAAATGATCACAGCAAATAAGTATTTTTATTGTAACATATAAATGTTCTATCCCTATATTAATTATCTCTTCTAGTGCAGGGTGGTAACTGCTTTCCAAATGCCAAATCAATTTCTGCTGAGTGATGCTTTTCTACAGTTGTATGACATTATTAATCAAATGTACATAAAGTATTAATTGACATGTTGGCTTTTAACAATATAAACTGTATGTGTACAGTGGTTTGATAAACTTTTTGTAATAAAATATTCTTATTTTTTAACTTGGTATGTAAATAAATAATCTGTGGTAGTGGATATCTCTTACGTTGTTTTGCTTTTTGGTTTTCTAGTTGGAACTGCTGATACACAAAGTACTAAATTTACACTTTCAGAAGGCCTAAATCTTTTTAAAAATCTTTGACTTGCACTTCTTTTGACATTTGAGAGTTTGAATGTATAGATTGTGTGTTTTTACAATTTTTTTCTTCAGTATTTTATGTAAGCACTATTCTGTACTTTTATAAATGTAAGCACTGTTAAAAACCTCATGGCTATTGATGTGCTTGACATCATATGTTTCCATGGTTAACCCCTTTCTTCATTCCTGTATTCTGCACCTCTCTACCTGCAATTGATTATTTCTAATGCTGTTTCTAATCTGATTTCCTTTGGTGCAGAACTTTGTACAGCCCTGTAGTTTGGTCTGATGCTTGGTGTATGTGTCTTCTTTATTCAGAAAAATATAATTTGTATCAACATGACAGGTAATAAGTGTAGCAGTATGGTTAAGGGAGGAAACAACTGGGATCTACCTGTTCCATTACCAGAAGTCCGAGAAATTGAGCTATGGCTTTCTTTTTTACACTTAATCACTTCTGTGTGTGCGATTGGAAAAGTGAGTTTGGTCTTTCTATTTTGTTTTTGGTTTTGTTTTGTAATGGGTTAATTGTTTCTTGCCTAGAAAAGTTGGTTTTGGTACTTGCTCTGTATCTTTTCAATATTTGAACAGTTAATGGTTTGCTTCCTACATCATAAAATGTAAGAAGTGTCTTTAACACATTTTAGTCCTTTGAAGTACAGATGTTGTTAGCCTGTTGTCTATTGTTTTATCTTTTACATTGCTACCTTAAAGCTTTCCTAGCCTTGGGATTGTCATTTCAACCTATAAGTAGGAATAAGATCTAAAGGGAAAAAGATATTGGGCATACCGTTTATTCCTTGAGATATAATAAGTGAAAAGGGAAGTAAATGAAGAGTGACTGGTACCAAGTGGCAAAAAATAACTTTCAGTACATGTATAGAAAAGGCTTCTGTATCAATAGTTATGTTTCAGAGAAGATGCAGTTTGGGGTTTTTTGCAAATCACACAAAGCAAGCTGATCTGTTCATCCTTCCCATAAGGAAGTATCTGGTATATTTAGTTGAAATGCAGTTAATTTAACCTCCAGTACTTGATACATAAATACCATGTGGAATTTAGCATAAGTATCTTGTAGCAAGTAGCTCTTTAAAGTTTCCAAATACACTTTGATTTTAGCATTCTGTCACACTGTGTTTTTATTAAAACCATAAAAGTTGGCTATTTATAGTCCATGGAACATCTTGGTTTATATTTGTAAGCCAAGGCCTGTGTAGCTAGCTCACCACCCCCATCAAGTGGCAAGTGATGATGAAGTGCTAAAATTCTCACTTGTTTTGAAAACCTACCCTGTCTTCCGCAAACAGGTTCAGTTTGTTCTGGGGGGTGTTTTTTGTTTGGTAGTTTGTTGTTTTGTTTTTTTTTTTTCGTTGGAGTGGAAATTAAAAAAGTAGATTTTGTCTTTTTAGCCAAGAAAGGGGTGTCCTAGTGCTGCTCCCGGTCTCTTGGAGAAATTCTTTAATTATTACTGTGGAAAAGCTGCTTTTTTTTGCCTGTTTTGAGGACAAGGGTGAGATGTAGGAAGAAAACAAAGCATTGTAGTTATCACATTTAAATATCTAAATATTGAGAGCTTTTATGCATATCGGGTTTGTTGGAGCCTTTTCCTTGTGGTAGCTAAATGGGACATGCTTTCTTGTGTTGCTGCACAACCACAGCAGTAAAAGGGTGTTTGCTGTCCAAGCAAGTGTTCAAGTAAGCTCTGTTTTCAGGCACATGATTGTTCCTAAAGAAGTTCTTTACAAGGCTTTCCTTGGGCAGGGGCATGGTTATGTTGGAATTAAGACTAAGTAGCCTTGGTATTTCACTTGTGGTATCTAAGGTACCGCAGAGGTCTGACAGCTAGGATGCTCTGGATGATGTGTACTTCCAGGTAGCACAGTAGTAGCCCTTCCAGGTAGCGCTTCAGTGTTTCTGCAGGGTATGTGTAGGTCAGCTGCGCAGTACATCTGCAGTAAATCAGCATGGGATTTGCAGTCTACTATTTAATCAAAAGCACAGCATGTGTTTAGTAAGCCTAATATTTCCTGGAAATGCCAGCCTACCTGTAGTTGCATGGCATTGTGTATGCTTTAATTTCTCTGTATGGAAAATCTGGTCTTGATGGAACAGATGTGACTTCTGACATTTTAAGACTCATTTCTGTTTTTTTCTGGAACTGCCAGGCTTCAAAAGTGAAAAGTGATGTGCTGAGTTGATTCCTGTCTCTGTGTGCTGGCTCCCGTAGACCTCATTTCTAGAAATCTAACTTTCCCAGACTTTGTAAAATGAGTTTGAATGATGAAACTGAGCTGAGAGATTCACTAGCAGGCAGAGGAGCTGAGGTTAGGTGTTGAATGCAATGTTAAAAGGGAGAAATTCCTATTCCAGAATGATGAAATGTGCGTCAAACACCAGTTTGTTGGTCATTTGTTTTTTTAAACGGTAAGATGAGTAACATACCCTGGTTACCCCTTGGCACTGACAGGGGCAGTTTCTCATAGGAAAAAATATTATTTTGTAAATAAGGATTGTTTTGCATGGCAGTGGGTTCAAATAAAGGTGGTGTAGGTAAGCTTGGCATTTCCAAGCGTTGAAATTATCAATATTATTCTTTTGGTATGATTTGTGTATGAAAGAATATAAATGTATAGGACTCACACCATTTAGTAAGGTGCTAATCTCCGAATTCTCCTAAAACAGTGTTTTCCGATGCTGTAACTACATACATGGTTTTTACTGCAAGATCTGAGTTGCTAGATTTTTTGAAGATCTGGGTTATGTTTTTGAAGCTAGTAATTTCTTTGAACCATAATAAAATACAGAAAGCAGCCAGAGTTTAAGAGATGGTTGATGGTTAGCAGGTCTTATCCTTTTTTTTTTTTTTTTTTTTTTTTTTAGTGTATCAGTTCAGCAGAAAGATGCTCGGACATCACCACTCTCTGTGAATAGGAGCAAGCTGGAACAGGCAGCAAATGAAAATAAGCTTCATTGTTTCTTTGAACAGGGCAACATAGTGGATTCTCCTTTTCCTATAAGCAAAATCAATTTGAATCCATTGGCTGGAATAGAATATTAAATCTGCCTTCTCTCCATGCACGTGGGCTGTGAGTGAGGGTACCCTCGCTCCCGTGCCCTGAAGACCCATGTTGCTTAAAGCCTGCAGATGGCACTCAGTTTATGCTTGAAGTTACTTGATTGTAGTTTTAGAATTTTGTCTAGATCCTGTTAGGTTGTTGGTTTTTTTTTCTTGGTTTGTTTTAGTTGTAGGGCAACTACAACTGGTTTTAATCCTAATGCATACTAATTAAAGGATATTTGGAAAGAACAGATAGTACCCGGAGTTCTAAAGAAGGATTATCTTTTGCTACTGTATAGTGAAAGAAAATTGCTAGGTGAAGGCTTAGGAAGAAACAGAAATGGATTAGATGCTTTCTAGTTGCTATAGAAACAAAATACGTAATTAATCAAAATGAAATATGTTACAACTGTTACACTGATGAAAGTACTTAGTAAAGGTTGGACAATGAGTGAGTGTTTTGTATTGCAACACCAAAATGAGAAATAAACAGAGGGTTCAGGTTTTATTTTTCTAATGCAATTTTCCCCTACTGCATTTTTTTTGTGCTTGGTTAACCAAAAGCAAAAGTATTTATTTCCTAATATGGAAAAAAAAGGGGTGTTGATAATAATTAGTAATATGGTGAGGATTTGCATTAATACCACCAGAAATTAATAACTATTATGTGATACTAATGATATGATGAAATGAATAAAAACCTTAAGTACATGTTTTTTTGGGAAATAAACACCCACCTGATTTTATTAATATGAACTGTTTAATTACGCTTTAACTTTTAACAGACCACGTCAGTGTTTCTTATTCTATAAAAGTATATTAACAGTTTCATACCTTTGCTTCATAGCTAATAAATACAATTTCATTACAAAATATGTGTGTCGAGAAGTTTGTTTAATTGGAGTGTTAAGTGCTGCAGATTTAGGATGCCTTTCAAATGAGCTAGCAGTTAGTGCCAGCTGCCAGGAGAGGGCACTTTGAGATTTCTCAGGAAATGCTATTTATTTCCAAAGTTTAACTCGAGTTCTCAGAATTTTCTTTCTTTCTTGTATCGTAAATTTTCACTGTTTAAAGTTCAGAAATGTAGCAGTGATTGTTACTTCTCTTTGTTAGCTGAACTCTGAAGGTGACCGTATTCTGCTATTTGTGAATTGAGGAGGTGCATTTCCATGGAAGGCTCTCTTATTTAAAGCATATCTCAACGTGTGGCCATGGGAGATTGGATGGAAATTGGTTAGCTTTTGTACTTTACACCACTGCCACCCCCAAAAAATACTTATAACTTTCCAGGCAATTTATAAATATATAAGTTGTAAGATTTCATCAAAAGAGTAAAAGATATGTCAGGGAGTATAACAGTTTGATCTTTTAAAAGGAGCTGTACAGTACTTTTATGTATTCTGAAATACCAAGGAAGACCATAGATTATTACGACATATCCCATTTCTTTGACTGAAATAAGCTTGGGATGCTCACACTGGCTAATGCTCACGCTGACATCATGAGGCATGGAGAGGTTTGTACCAGTAAATGCAGTGCTAATTATTAATCAAAATGAGACTGTGGCTAGATGTGGGAGACACCAAAGTACATGACCACATGCCCAAAACCTTGGGGGACCAGAGCTGAAGGTCCTGTGCTGTCCCAGGTTATTTCAAGCCTCTTGTGGGCAGGACCCAGAGCAGCAGTTATGCCGCTGGATCTGTTCTTAAGCACATGGGATAATTACAGTGCAGCTGCTGCCTCGCAAAGTTATCTGAATAGTGATGGTGCTCTAGAAACGAGAAATCAAGTGCAAGTCCAATCCTGGAAATGGTGTGGGTTTTGTTTGGGTTTGTTTGTTTATTTGTTTGATTGGTTTTTTTTTGTTCCCTAACCCCAATACTCTTTGTTCCTTACCTCTATTGCCAGCATTTCTGGTAGCTGGAGGCAGCCTGCAGAAAGCATAGGCTGCTGTCTAGCGGAAAATGCATTTGTTTGGTATGCAAAAGGTGTACATGGTAACTGTACTAACGTGTGCCCAATAACTGTTAATGATAACATAAGCAACAACTTCAGTAAGCTGTGAAAGCACCAGTTTCTGAGATACGGTGCTGATGACACTCCCGGCATGTCTGGGATATGCAACTTCACCTCTTCAGTTCCTGTCCAGACACGGATGCCTGTTTGAATCGGGGACTTTGTAGCCACCTGCAGGTGATGACTTTGTGTGCTTGCTCTTGAATCAAAATCTGTCAAGGCATTGCTGCTTGAGCCCTAAATGCCATGGAGAGTTTGGCTTTCCTCTCTGCATATGTCTGTCCCCACATGTAAAATAGCACTTCGCTGGTGGGAAGCTGTGAGGTTAAACGTGTTCGGGACTGATTTGTCAGATCATTTAGTTGTGGGAACCCAAAAACTAACAAAAATACCTAGTTAGGTTACATAGAGGTATTTGGAGCCCAACACAATAGACAACTTATTGTGCATTCAAGACTATGAAGTGGGATCCAGTTTTTAGTCAGACAAGGAATATTATGTTGGAATGATTATTGGATTGAAGTATGTGAGTAACTTGAGTGAGACAAAGTCTGTGCATGCTATATAACCAATAGCTAACCATTATTTTTTATTTTCTTTTATTTTTTACAATTTTAACAGCAGGAATCAAATAACAAATCAGCTTTAGGAGTGTTTCACTTCTGTTTCAAAAACTCGTAACTGAGTTCTTGACTTAAAACTAAAATTCGACCCCCGTGGAAAAAGTTGTAAGATGCTGTGATAAAAGGTACCATTAATTGCAAAACATGATTACTAAATTCTTGTATTTGTCCAGGTTCTTGCATTTTCCAGTTGTGTTGCCTTGCTGCTTGCGTGACCGGACTATTCATTATATCTCTAAATAGAAAGCGAATGAAGGCTTTTTGGGATGAAATGCAGTTTTGATATTTTTTTAATTCTTTGTTCCAGTGTTTCCCTTTAAATAGTTTGAAATGCATATAAATATTCCTAATAACTAGGCAGTAGCCAGCCAATTCCAACTTGCCTACAAATGAACCATTTTTAATCAGGATTCATCTGAATTGGGCTCCTATAAAAATTTCACGCGCAATTTGGAAAAAGTTGTTTCTCATTTTAAGTAATGCTCTTTCTTTCTGGCTTTTTGTTGGTTCGGTTTTGCATGTTTGGTGGTTTTTTTTGTGCTTTTTCTTGTTTTTTTTTCTTTCCCTTTTTAGGGTATAAATAGTCTGGTATTGTTCAGAATAATACAGAATAAAAATGTTTCCCTGGTCACATAGGATTCAGGATGTGGGTTGCTTTATTATTGTGCTTTATAATACAAGAAAGATTTTTTTGCTACAGAAGCCTAATCATATTCTAATCATATTTTATTTTATTTTATGAAGGAGGCGATCACAGCAAGGGTTATCTCCTGATAACCAGCATCAGGCTAATCTCATTATCTCCTGTTTCAACTTTGGAAACATACCCAACCAGGCTGTTGTTACCCATTACATTTGGTGGTGGTAATAATTTGGAAAAAACTTTTCAGCATCATCAGCTTTTGGGATTTGTCATCCCTCCCTTGGAAGGAGCAATTCCAGCATGGGTGGACAGCCGCTTTCCTGGTCCAGTGGTTACAACCCTTTAGCTAGGACGAGGCAACAGGGGCACTTCTGATGCTTTAAAGACAAGAGGTGGAGATTGTGTAGCTGGTGGAAGAGGAGCAAGAATGACCTTAAGCCTCAACCTTCAGGTTTCCCCCTGCCCCCTGCCATAGGGAGCAGCAATGTAAACCATTTTCTCCCATCCACAAGATCTCACGCACTGTGTAATAAAGTGCTTTCCCTGAAATCACTTGCTGCCTTGTCAGATGTAATTAAAGCTGATGAAGTCCAGAAGTTGTTAGAGTGAAAGAACTGATAGACAAACAAGTGGTGTAGTTGAATAAGTCTCCTCAGAATTGTGTATTTAATATCAAAAATACTGAGCAGGCAAACTAAAGCTGGTGATAGGGTTTTGTTTCTTCTGCATCTTTGTTCATAACATTTATGATGTTTTATGAGTTAATAGTAAATTTAATCCCATATATTAATACTGCTGCCTGCTGTCCATGTTTGTTTTCTTGGTGTCCTGTGGCCAGAAAGTCCCTTTTATAAACTGGTAGGAAGTATTTTAGTCTAATTGCACAAAGACTATTATGAACATATTGTAGAGCGTTCTATGCACACCAACGCGTTTAGGAATTTAGTTTTAATGATTGGTGTAGTAAGTTTAAATATGCATAGTAGACATTGTTTTTTTTTTGGTTTTGTTTTTTTTTTACTTTTCAGTGCTCTGAGGAATCCTTCATTAAAGCAGAAAAATAAACAGGATTTAGGATTTTGCAGCTTAGCCAAGTGACAGAGGTCTGCTCTGTACATCAGGAATGCTCTGGTGATCCCAGCCAGGAGTCAGCTGTGCACCCAGGAGTTGGAGAGCCACATCACAGTTAACCTGAGAAGCTGTAGGCCTGTGCTCTACTTACTTAGCAGCTTATATGTTTAGAGCTTTGCTTTTAGGCCTGTGCTGAGCTGCATGTAGGCCTTGTCCACAGGGTAAGTGTTGCCAGAGAACTGTAATAGTGGAGCCTGCAGGCAGCTCCAATTTGGTACCAGTGATTACACCACCCACGTGTCCTTGCCTTCACCTGAAAATGTGGCAATAAATTCTTCTGTGAACATCCATTTTCTTAGACAGTAGAAATGAATAGACTTGTTTTAAGAAAATCCCATAAAGACTTAAAAGGCCAAAACAGGGCAGGGATCCACGCAGCATACTGTGCATCGATTGGAGACTCATCTGGTGCCATGCAGTTCAGGATTCCCAGCATCTGAAGAGATGTAAAATTGTCTGTACTATCCTCTGCTTGTTGATAGTATTAGCTACACTAAATGACATTTTAAGTGATACTTCAGAGAGTCTGAGTGCCTTTCTTATTGGGATCCTAACAAACCAGAACCTCTTGGTGCAGAGCAATGGCATGCTAATTTTGAGGGAGAAATGTAAAACTGAATGATACCAGGCTGCATTGCTGGTACAAACGTGCGGAGGGTAAATGTATGGAGAAGAGTGCTACTCTAGTTGCTCTGAATGCCTGCTATTGCATTCCAGATATTTATCTTAGATTTTTTTTTTTTTTTTTAATACTGTCATGAATCCACTTGTGTTGCTTTAGCTCTGTAGACATTGGCTGCTCTCAAGATAGGAGGCCTGGTCCTGTATCTGAGAAACCTGCGGATGAACTTCTGCATTCCTGGAAGGCCTTACTAACACGGAATTAGTACTCTAGAGATACAGAATCTGCTTGTGTGGGTGTCCAAGTGCTGGAGGATCAGGCTTCTGGTGTTTAGAGAACAGGACGAATTACCTGCAATCTGTCCAATCTTGTATTTAGAACTTCTGTACCGCTGTAGTGTTAAAGCTACTCTGAATCTGTTAGTGATAATATTCTCTCTGTGCTGGTAGGTACAGGTGTGAGCTATAGTATGAGTCGAAACTGCTGTTCACTTTGCGTAACATATAGCTTGTCTTCTAATGTTTTTCATAAGATACATTTAGGAAAGCTATGGGATTTTTTTTTCTTAGTGGTCTGTAATTTAAAACAAAACTACTTACCAGTTTTACACACGTGAACAGAAAATGGGGAGTGATGTGACCAGCTGTAAAATGTTGCAAGGTTCGCTTTTCTGTGAATTCAGGGCTGGGTATTGGCACCTAGAGTGCAGAGTACTTCTGGCATCACCTTCTCTGTTAAATCAAATCCTCTTTGCAGTTTGGCACTGGGTTGTGGATGCTGGGGTTGGTACATTGAGAGAAATGCAAGTGAGCTCTTCAGTTCTCAGTGCCTGCTT